AAAAATTGTGCAAGGATGAGGTGGGCTTTTTTTGGCTCTATCAAAATGGGTGTATTTTGCAAAACTGCATCTGAAAAACTTTTTTTGCATCACATGAATCACAAGATCAACAACCAGATGTTGCTATTGGCGAAAAAGACTAAGATGACGACAGGAATTGGTAGGAGGATGGTGTTTTTTTTTAAATAACTTTATTGCATGAACAAACTTAATCACGTGTGATTTTAATTGCATATCTTATTTAATGGAAATGCTGTAAATGCAAAATTGTGTTTGGATATTATTGTGTCTGTATTATGCTGGACATCAGCGTAATGCAGACGATGTTTTGAGCACATTTGTAACGGAAGCGCAGCTAGAAAATGTCCTCCAGCAGGGTAATCTACAAAAGATCTTTATTGAAAGAAGCTGGCTGTGTCTAAGGTTGTACAAGGAAAGTTGAGTGGAAGGAAAAACATTGTAGTAGGAAACAATGTTAACGATAACTGATGTTTATGTGCGCCGATTTATGTTTTCGCATCCACCTGAATAATGTGCAGTTGCGCCACTGACTGGAAGCGTCAATGCAGCCCGTTGAATGTGACAGGTAGCTAATCAGAAAGCGCGGATTCAACCCGAAGTCCAGCGGACATCGGAGATGACATGTGGAAACAACATTAATATTTATTCAACATTTCGTGCAAAGAATCTAGAAATGACAAGGAGATGAGATGGAGCCAAATTGCTACCGCAGTTGATAAACCCGGTAAGTTTTCAGCTGTTCTTCGTTAACGTGACATAAATAGGTTATAATGATTTTCAGTCAGTCATGACTTTACGCTGACTCTAGTCACATACATCACATGTAGATTCTAGTAAAGCATTGATTAATGCCTGGCTTTAAAATTAGTTAACTGGACTTGTAGCCATTATTTTGTGCCCATTCTTTGACACAGCACGGTCGAACCCGATTGAACCGTTATACCTAGGATTTCTGTCGGCTAATGTGTATCTCAGGTTTTGAAAATGGGCTGACAGTCGACCGACAACTCGTGTAGTGTGAGCTGGACATTACACTAAGGAAATGAGGAAGGGAGGGTCAGTAGAGAGCACGGGAGTTGAGCCTTTTTCATTCAGTGTCATCAACAGAAAGAATAAAGGCAGGAAGAGACGATAAAGCCGATAATTAAAATGAGGTCGATAGGTTTAATTTATCGTGCGATTAATTGATATATCATTTATCGCGAGAGGCCTAATGCAAATGCAAATCAACTGTTGAGCACCGGCCTTTTGACTCTCATTCCTGTTGTAGCTGAACCATTTTACCTTCTGTGGTTTTATACAAGAACTGAGCATGTCCAACGGTTCTGTATCCTTTTGTTTTATACTACAGTTTTCACGGTGTTGATGGAAAGAAAGGTCGAGATTAAACTGCACCCGTTTGAAACTCCCTGCGTCTGGCTGTTCAATCCGAGTGGCCGCTACATGTAGTTTAATTAGAAACATGCTCGGACATGTTCGGACTTATCCGCTCCCCTGCAGCCGCCGGCTCGTCTCGCCTGCTCTGTCAGGGCGCAGCGGCTCGTTAAGAGAGAGAACCACCGTTTCCTGCTGGTTTTCGGCAACGAGTTAAAAGCAAAAATAAGACAATATCTAGTGTTAATGTTTGCTAATTTTATTATTATTGTTACTATTAATTACAAAACATTTATTTAAAGTCGGTGCTGAAAGTTATTTAGCACTAAGTTAGTGTTTAAGTTAAGTTTTACTTATAAATTAAATTATATGTGTCATTTTATGTTAAGTGCTATATTGATTTTTTAGGAACATAAAATTACTCTGAACATTTGAAATTGCTGGGTAATTACAAGTTATTTGCAGTGGAGACAGCTATAAGATTGAATTCAGTCATTCTTAAAGTTTGATTTGTGATTTTGTCTTTCCTGATAGATTTTGTAATTTTACATCCAGGATCTTCAGGAGAATTAAGCGAAACCCAAACTCCTTGTTCTTAACGAAGACCTTCTGTATGGCCAAGAACATGAGTCTGCTCCCTCATGGTATTGAAGCTCAAAAGAAATGTTCTCTAAAATGTTTTCAGGCTTTTTAGTTACTGCAATATTTTAACACTAGCTTATGTTTGATCCAGAAGATGATGTAGCCCTGCAGCTGCTGCCAGTTCTCCTCCCTGCTCCAC